TAGATTTAAATGCTTAACCACAGACAGCTTAATCCAAAAAAGATATATTGGATTTGAGAATCAAATCTGAGGACTTTCACAATAGAACCAGCCTGCTTTTTTTTTTTATTATTCTTTTTCAGGCTCCACGCCTTCACATGTGTGAACATGGTTACATTGTGTAATAGGCTCAAATCGAAAAAGTCCAATCCCATTTGAGTACTATCCCTTTTGATTATGTTCTGCGCAATTCTGGGTCTCTTGCTTCCCCAAATGTTTGTTTTTATTTGAATAACCATCCCTTCATCTCTGTGCCTATATACATATTCCCTCCCTCAGCTTTATTGCAAGCCTATCTGACCCACACATATCTTTATTCAACAGCCTGATTTCCAAAATTTCTATCCGCAGTATTGCTGTAAGAAACTCAGTGCTCCATCAGCTGATCGTCTGCAATAAGCAAAGGTAGCCTTCTTGAAGACAACACTAAGACTCTATCCTGCACAGGATACGATTATATAAGAGAACAGCAGGGAGTCAGTATGAATACCCCTAACCTGGATATCACCGAACACTGATCTGTACTTCATGAGGTTAACCCGGTACAGGCAGCCGGTGACAACAGGGTTCATCACAGACTAGTAGTACGGCTGAATGGACAGGAGGCCCGAGGTCTGATGGACACCAGAGCTACACTAACACCTGCACAGAGTCAAGCCATTCCAACATACCAGATGCACTGTTGCCGTCAAGGTAGCCGGGGAGCCATCCACAATATGCCTACGGCCCGGGTCCATATTGATTGGGGTACCCGAGCTAAGTCCCTGGAAGTGGGAATTATGCCAGACTTACCGGATGAGGTACTCCTGGGAAATGACTTGGAATGTTTGACCTCCCAGTTTGTTCCACCAACTCTGGAGGGAGCACTATCTGTAACCACCCGGCAGCAGACTCGAGCGATGGACTCCTCACACTCTCAGGAACCTCAGGTAGGAACTGATACCCTGACCCTGGCCATAAACCTCACTCCCTACTGGGGCACCCCACAAGACTTTGGGAAAGAATAGAGGGAGGATCCCACACTAGGTGGGTATATGCAGGAGGCAGACACCCTGCAGGGGGACTTAGATCAGGAACGGTTCCAATGGGAGAAGGGACTATTGTACAGGGTGACTGGAGGAACAGGGAGGGGGCCAATCAAGTGACCAGAAATACCGTGCTGAGCTGCTCAGAATCAGTTACGGTATCCCCTTAGCAGGACACTTAGGTATAAAAAAGACAAGCGACTGGCTGACGCAGCTGTTCTTTTGGCCCAGAGTCACCCGGGATTTACAAGATTATTGTAGAACATGTGATATGTGTAACAAAATAGGAAAAAGGGGTGACCGCCCTAGGGCTAAACTCAGGTCCCTTCCCATAATAGAGGAGCCCTTCTATTGGTAGCGGTAGAGTTAATAGGACCACTAAGTAAGCCCAGTCCATCGGGGAAGAAGTATATTCTTACGGTGGTGGACTATGCTACTCGGTACCCTAAGACTGTGGCCCTAATATCCACGCAGACACCGTAGTCGAAGCTTTGGTACAAGTTTTCACTAGGGTAGGATTTCCCAGGGAAATCGTGTCTGATCAGGGGAAACAGTTCACAGCAGCCATTACCCAACAGCTCTGGCACAGCTGTGTGGTAAAACCTATATTAAGCTCTCCTTATGACCCTCAGACAAATTGACTCTGTGAACGATTCAATGGCACTCTTAAGCAGATGCTAAAAACTTTCACAGAGTCCTGTCTCAACTGGAAAACGTTTCTTCCCCATCTATTTTTGCATACCGGGAAGTGCCCCAGGAGTCCACCGGCTTCTCCCCCTTTTAATTATTGTATGGGAGGAGAGTGCAGGCACCCCTGGACCTGGTACGGGAATACTGGGAGGGAGATATTGGAGAAGCAGGAACTCCTATAGTGCCTTATGTTCTGGAACTGCAAGCCCTAACTGAATCTGGCGAGAGAACTTGCGAACGGCCAACAGTGCCAGAAACGTTGGTACAACTGGGGAGCTAGAGATCGTATCCTAGAACCGAGGCAAAAAGTTTTAGTCTTACGACCCACTAAAACATATAAGTTACAAGCAGCCTGGCAGGGTCCCTTGAAGTTAGTGGAGAGGATCAGTGACACCACCTATATAGTAGTGAGCTGTTCAAATGAATGGATCAGAAGGTCCTTCCTTGTAAAGATGCTCAAGCTGTACCTCGAAAGGATGGAAGAGGTATCAGCAGTGTGCGCCCCTGCCATCGAAGACAGTGAAGGTATCCCCTTGCCTGACATGCTCCCCACCACCTCAGTTGGAGTAGAGCAAGTTGGTTTAGGAACTGACTTAAGTCCAGAGGAGAGACAGCAAGCCTCCCAACTGCTAGGGGAATTTCGCAATATGTTTTCTGCCCTACCAGGATACACGACACTGGCAGTCCACAGAGTGGAGACCCCAGGTCAAGTACCTCTCCGGCAGCAACCATATTGCATCCCTGAAGCCGTTAGAGAGAGCATACACAAGGAAATTCAGGACATGCTAGAATTAGGGGTGATAGAACCATCCCAGAGTCCTTGGGCTTCCCTGGTGGTTTTGGTGCCTAAGCGGGACAGTACGACCCGTTTTGTGTTGATTACCGCAAGATCAACGACCGGTCAGTTACTGGCGCCTAACGCATGCCCGGGTAGATGAGTTATTAGATTGGATGGCAGGAGGGAATTATTTGACCACTATAGATTTATGCAAGGGTATTGGCAAATCCCCTTGGAGCCTGACGCTATCAGTAAGTCGGCATTCTTCACCCCATTTGGCCTGTATCAGTCTAAGGTCATGTCATTTGGGATGAAGAATGCCCCTGCCACTTTTCAGAGGATAGCTGACAGGCTCTTAGAGGGATTCCAGAGCTCCACCTGTGCGTACCTGGATGATATCGCTATATTCAGTCGTACATGAGGAGCTCACCTGGAACACATATCTGTAGTGCTCATAAGAATTTAAGCCGCCAGTTCTAACGTTGAAACCTGACAAATGCCATGTCATTTTGGTTCAAAAAAAGAGTGGGCTCTGGCCAGCAGCGACCCGAGACAGCCAAAATTGAGGCCATAACCCAATGGCCCCAACCCCGTACTAAAATGCAGGTAATGGCGTTTTTAGGAATGGCCGGCTATTACCAGAGGTTTGTACCGGACTATAGTGCCGTAGCAAAGCCCCTTACTGACCTCACAAAAAAATCACAACCCAGACAAATTTATGGTCCCCAGAGTGTGAGGACTCCTTCCAGAAGCTGAAGACGGCACTAAGCGAGGCACCTGTATTAGCAGCACTTGACCACACTAAAAGATTTCTCGTTCATACAGATGCCTCAATGTTTGGACTGGGAGCCGTATTAAGCCAGGTCTGTGAAGATGGCATGGAGCACCCGGTGGCATATCTGAGCAGAAAGTTGTTACTCCAGAAGTCAGCTATGCCACCGTGGAAAAGGAGTGCCTAGCTCTAGTTTGGACACTAAAGAATCTGCAACCTTATTTCTATGGACACTCCTTCACCGTCATGACTGACCACAACCCCCTAATCTGGCTTAACAGAGTGACAGGAGACAACCCCAGACTGTTAAGATGGAGCTTGGCATTGCAGCCATACAACTTTATACAATACCGACCAGAAAATGCAGATGGGTTGTCTCGGCAAACCTGAACTGGAGAAATAACTTGTACTTCCCGGACATCCCCAAGCCAACCCGTTGGGGGTCTATGCGGGTATGCCATCCCATGGAACTGGGGGGGAGCCATGTGACAAAACCCCTATCCCCAGAGTCATTCTCCTAATCATTTTGGCCATTTACTTAATATTTGATTCCCTTATCCTGCTACCATTCGAGAATACTAAGTACTGAACGCCAACCACCACCCTGGCTCATTAAGTTCAAAGAAACCACAAGAATTAAGTGCTCTCTTTATGTGGCCGACGTTCGTATAACCGAACGCCACGTGGTGGAGAAAACGGCGGCCGTCTTGTCACACGAAAGCAGGCAGCGGGACTTTGTTGAGTCGAGTGCCTGGAACTCCGAGGCAGACACTCGACAGCCCGAACACCGGTGAAACCATACGAACAACTGCTTCTGTTCATGGCAAGCCAGGAGAGCGATGTTCTGTAGGTTTGTTCGACTGGATCTTACGAACAAACACTACCCATGAGCCAGGGGACCCGTTCGCCTTTTCTTTCATTTTATAACTTTTGAACTTGACCGACTGCTACCTCTGAAACTATGGAACTATTCTGGGCAGACGTCTCAAGAGCGTCCGGTCAAATCTTCACCCCGGTGGCTATTCGACTATGTTCGTGGGATCTGAGCGCTTTTCGGGTATGTTGGGCGCTCAGTTCCAGGCAATCTGGGGATGTATAGACTATGGGGGTTTGGTTATGTAAAATATGATTTTTTGTATTTTAAAGTATTTTTGGAGTTTTGGTAAACGTAAATGTTTTCTGTACCTGGAGATAATTGAGTTTAATACAGGACTTAACCCAATTATCACCCAGGTACAGAGGAGGGATTATCATATTTTATGTGGGAATGTCCTAGACCTGAGAGCCAATGTCATTGTGTGATTGTTTTTACTGCAGTCTTCTCTCAGATCCAAGGGGAAGGCCCCTTGCATGGGGACTTGCATAAAAGGCCAGTTGTGGCTACCAATAAACACATTGTTTTTACCCTTTCATGAAGTCTTGGCTCATGTTTGGGGGATTGGGAGCTATAATCACTACAACCTCTATGTTTGGATTTCGGGAGACTCTTCACGGGGATATACTCAATTGGAATATAAGGGATCCGTTACACCATCTATATATAATCATTTTGTTTCTCAAACAATTCGTAATTTCAGTAAATTTTTTCCTATTTAGCCTTGTTGCCAACGAATGGTCTGTGAAAAAAGTAATGTTTCTATATATTTCTGGAGAGTGTGTCTTCCTGAATTCTCTTAGGAACAGATTTTTTAGATATTGTAACGGATCACCTGGCACCCCGACTGGGTACCTCCGTTGAAGGATGCTCCTAGCGCTTCCTGAGGGCTCCAAGCACTCTGGCAGACACCACAATCACCGAACCGGAGAAAAAAATAAATTCTCCCAAGCATTTGAATGCTGTAGACAGTTGAATAGGAACCATACGAATAGGTTTACTCTCCTAGCAGTCAAACTGGAACAGCATACAACGAATCCTTCCCCCAATAATGAGACGACACTTCACTTTGAGCGTTAAAACAGGAACTCCCTGTACTGTCACATACAGTCTCTTTTATTCCCAATCCACAAACATAGTACAGCCCACAGGGCGTTACAAAACAGCCATTCAATCCATACAATACACACAGACACTCCCACACAAAATCCTCCCCTCTGGCTGGATATGATTACTGAACACAATGGGTAATCTAATTATCACAGCCAGTGAAATACAGTTTCATAAAACACATCACAGGGACCCCAAAACATGCAATAACCCCATAAAAGTATATCCTTGGAACTGGGGGATCTGGGTGAACCACATATCCAAAATTCACCTAGATCCGTTCAGTACTTTGGAAAATACAGTTTAATGCAGATTCTGCAGAACATATACAGGCTAAATAAAAAACAATCACTGTATAATGTGTCCCCTGCTGTATAGTCCAAAACCACCGCACGATGTCTCTGTGCAACAAATACTGGCGAGATGGCACCGTGTTGAAAAGTCCACACAGTGTCTGTGAGTTAAAATGGCCGCCATCCATTGTTCTCACCATGTGCTTCTGATACAGGAAATGGTGGCCACCCAGTAACTCCACAGTATGTCCCCAGATGGTTCTTAAAAGGGCTAGCAGCAGCACAACACAAATCCATTATGCTCAAATCATGTCTTTAAAGGGCAATACATCCCAGGGGCCATAGTCACATGGCAGGAGGCTGGCAACCAGGCTTCTCCAGGGCATAGTGGCGAGGTTGGTTCCGCCACAGATATGAATTGTTGAAACAAATATTATATCTCGCAGTTTGTCTACTAATGCCGGTGATTTTGGTTGAGGTTGTCTGTGGAGTCTTTTAAATTGTAAATTAACTATTTTCTCTTCTTCTATGACACTGGAGTCTAATTTCTTGCAGTACTCTTCAAGATGATCATTCTTTATATCTTCTGTAATTCCTTTTATTCTTAGATTTCTTCTCTAGACCCATCTTCAAGGTCTGCTAATTTAGATTTGGTTTTATATAGTATTTCTTGTATATTTTGGTTCTCATTTTGGAGTGCGTCGCATTCCTTTCTTAACAGTTTGATTTCTTCTGTCTGTCTTTAATTCATTTGAGTTTAATTTCAAATCAGCTTTGATTTTCTCCAATAGATCATCTAGTGCTTGTGTAAGCATCAATTGGTTCACAAGACTAGGTATTTCATTAGAGGTTTCACTGCTTTCTTCACTGCTAGGTCTTTCCACTGGTATTAATGGGCCTTGCATTGGAACTTGCAGTGATTTTATTCCTATGTCACTTGATTTTGGGGAATAAAATCCATGGATTGATATTGATTGTTGTACCTTCTCCTTGACTTTTTTGGGAGCCATACTCCCTTTCAATTTGGTATCCTCTGTGACAATCTCTTCTCCTGTATTTATGCCTTTTTATATTGCTTAAGTAATCTTTACTCTGTAAAAGGGGTTAACCTCATTACATAGAAAAATAAAATAAGGGGGAGCAGAGAAACACCCACACCAGAAAAAAAAGGATTAGAAAGAAAAAAACAAACAAATGGGAACTCTCTTCTTCTTTCTTCTTTATTTATTAATGTTCAGATTTCTTTCTTTTAGTTTGATTTGCGCTTTTCGTTTTGATTACCTTCTTTTTATCTGTATTTTTTTACTTGTGAGGTTAGAGAGCTTTGCCTAACTAAAGGTCTTATTATGAAGGCGGGTACCTTTCCCTTTTTCTGGTTTGTAATACAGTGTTTAGAAGTGGTACCCTTTTAAGCTTGTGCTTAATTTTGGGAGTTTTTTCCCTCTTTCCCTCCCATTACCTTCCTTCTCTCTTGGGGAACTTTTCCTCCTGTAATAATCACACTTCCTCACTTTACTGGTATGTATGTAAGCCTCAATTGCAGGGCTCATATACACACTGGCGGATCCAGGGGGGCGCAATGGGGCAATTTCTTCCCCCTCCCGAGGTTCTCGGTTGGCACTGTCCAAGCGCCAGCCCTGCATTGTGCCTTCAAGGACCAGAAGGGAGATCAGAGATCTCCCACCCCGGTCCACAGGCACCATGCTGGCAGCCGGCACACACTGCCCACTCATACATAGATTGCCCCACTTACACATACACTGCCCACCCATACACACACATACACAGGCCCCCATACACACATTGACCCCCACACACACATACACTGCCCCCACACACACCATACACATTCACACACTGCCCCCATACACACATTGCCCCCCACACACATACACTGCCCCATACACACACTGCCGACCCACACACCATACACATTCACACACTGCCCACCTATACACACGTTGCCCCCCACACACATACACTGCCCCACATACAGATAAACTGCCCACCCATACACACACTGCCCGACACACACAGCCCCCCATACACACATTGCCCCCCCAAAACACACTTTGCCCCATGCACAAATTGCCCCACACACCCTACACATTCACACAGTACACCCCCCCCACACACACTGAACCTTTAACAAACACTGCACCCCTCACACATTGCACCACTCACACACACCACTGCTCCTATGCCTTACTACAGCCCCATATCCCAGCAGACCCCAGGTAAGTTGTCAAACTGTTCTTAAACGGTTTGACTACTTATTCTGGGAGGGGGTCCCAGCACTCCTGGCACCATAACCACTACACAGAGCTGTAGTGGTTATTTTGCATGGATTAATTCTTTAAGTAATCTACATGTGCCCCTCTCGAGATCAGGCTCTGGATCCGCCACTGCATATACAGCTGTTATACTGCAACAAAACAGTTCCCAGTTCTCCTTCCTCCAATCTCTTTCGATGTAGGTCTCTTTGTAGTTGCTGCTTATGATCTCAGCTTACTCCCTGCATCTGCTCCTTTTTCCTTGCTGCTCCCTTACCTCCTTGAGGCTTCAGCCCCCTCCTTCCGTCTCTTACATTATCGCTGTTCGCCGCTCGCCGCTCACCGCGCGCCGCTCGCCACTCGCCGCTCGCCGCTCACCGCTCCTTGTTTCACCACTCCTTGTTTGAATTCCAGCCACCTGTGCCTCTTGTTCCCTGACGCTCACAGCTTACAGCTGCTCGACTGGCATATCCCTGCTCAGCTCCGACCGCTACCTCCTCTCCTGACTCAGCACGCTGACACTCATACCTTACGTCATCACATACGTCACTTGCTGCCTTTCATCTCTAAAAGCTCTACACTTTCTAAGGACTGTCCATTAGCACTCACTTGTCCACTCCTCTCCTTACCTTCTTACTAGGAATCAGAAGCTCCTGTTATGCAGTCTGGAAAAGAGGAAAGGTGTATGTGGTAAGTGTAGAAGAAAGGGAACATACCACAGTATTAGATAGACTGAAGCAGCAAGAGTATTTGCATAATGTGCAAAGTCAGCTTTACTTTAACTAATTTCATTGCCAGCCAGTCTACACCAGTTTTGTTCCACTACACCCCGCTTAAGATTTCATACTTAAAGGGCAACTTGACACCTTAAAAGCACTTCAGCTAGCATAGTTTAACCCCAGTTTATAAAAGTGTTGAGTTCTGTGAGAAATCTGCACTTTTATAAATGAACTAGGGAACTCCCCCCTGGCTGTCAATCAAAATGCCACGGAGGATTCCTTCCTACTAATGGAAGTGGCAGCCATGCTCTACTTGAGAGTGTCTGCCTCCCTCTCCCTTCCAGTCCTCAGACCAGCTACTCCACTTCAGCTGTTTGTGCGCACACAAGCCTTGTGCACGTGGGGACCAAGTGAGAGGCTTCTGAAAGTCTCTTCTGGGGAAAAAGGAAAGGACTTACAAAGGCTGCTGTCATAAGAACTGAAGCTTTTGTAATCTCTTTTAGACTATACTCCCAATTAATACATGCATAAAAACTATGCATGCATGTATTCATTGGGAGTATATCTACTAAACTATGAGTTTGTTTGGTGTGGTTTTTTTAAGTGTGGAGTGGCCCTTTAACCCCTTAAGGACCAAACTTCTGGAATAAAAGGGAATCATGACATGTCACACATGTCATGTGTCCTTAAGGGGTTAAGCAAGAGGATATGAAGAGTAAAATATAGCAATGGGTCTGTGGCGGCCTCCCTGATGAGAAGAAGGATTTCGCAGCCCTTAGAGGGAGGGATGCTGTAGAGCAGAGCAGGAACAGCTCTTAAAAGAGCTAGTGATAAAGCACTCCAAGCAGAAGAGAGAGAGAGAGCTGGTATAGCTTTCTCCTAAAAACATGAGACGAAGCTCTATGCTGTGAGATGACTGGGTTTAATGGAGCCACATGCAGCCTTTTATGGCAATCCCCATGCAAGGGACACTCCCCTCTGGAACTGAGAGTAGACTACAGTACAGACAATTATACAATGGCATTGACTCTCAGGTCCAGGACACTCCCATATACAAACAATGTAATCCCTCCTCTGTGCTTGGGAGATAATTAAATAAGGCATTGTATTCACATAACCCAATTATCTCCAAGCACAGAAAAAATATACTTTTACACAGTATCCTGAAAGTACCCCCACTAAAGTTATATCCCCTGATAGCCCCGATCTGGGGGACCAACATATCCAAAGATCACCCAGATCAGTTCAGGGGTTTCGGGATTTCCATTTTGACCGACCGCACACGAGGCTCCTGCCCAAAAGAGTTCCATGAAATCAGGCTTTGCGGTCGGTCTGTTTTGGGAACACATGAAATAGTAAAATTCCCAAATGTAATCGTTCGTATGGATACTTGGTTGATGTATCTGGTTCGGGAGTTTATTCCTACCGAATGCCGCTCTTTTTTTATGAATCTAGACAAACGTATGAAGTTATGGAAGACCCATCGGTGTTTGCACCATTGAGTGTCCGATTATAGTTCCATGCACTTGATGTATGTATTCGCGGCTAAAGATGGCCGCTGCCACATGTTCGTATACCGAATGCTGACTACCCAGCCGACTGCTTAGAATGCCTGTGGTTTTTGAGGTGTTACAGAGGTGATAGACGTTAATGAGGGGCACACTCCACATACGGGTCGTCTGGTCGTTCGGTAGGGAAATAAAATACAGAATAAACAAAAGAGAAGTCAATGTCCCGAACTCATAGGGGAACGAAATTA